GCATGAAAGAAAGAGAAGAGAGAATGTGAGAGAGAAAGCATGAGAGAGAGAGAGAGACAGAATGAGAGAGAATGCGAGAGAAAGAGAAAGGATGAGAGAAAGAAAAAGAATGAGAGAAAGAAAGAGAATGAGAGAAAAAGAGAGAGATAATGAGAGAGAGAGAAAGAATGCGAGAGAAAGAGCATGAGAAAGAATGTGAGACAAAAAAGAGAATGTGTGTGAGAGAGAGAGAGACGGCTGCAGTAAGGAAGCTGCAGGCACTCTTGAATGCTTAACTGAATACTAAGCGGTCACAGAAAGGAATCCCACAACCCCAGGACGCTGACCGTCATAAATATGAGCCGGTGGCCAAGCGCCTGAGTTTGAATCAAGCGACTACGGGGATGCCGCAGCGGTCGTCCAGTATGAAAAACGGTCTTAAGTCCTTTTTTTTTTTTCAGTGATGAGGTAACTTCAGGCCGTCGTTAAGTGAAGTGTTGCAGGTTCGAGATTTGCCTGTAGGATGCAATTGTTCTATTTGCATATATTTATATACACAAAGAGGGTGATTTTCTCTCTCCCCCCCGCCTGCTCCCTGTGCTTTGCTGATCTCACCGAAGCTTTTCAGCCTCCGAGAAGTTGATGCAAATCTCTTTTTGTTATTTCGGCACTCGTGTGATTAAAGCCTCATTAAAGCCCCGTTTTGTTTTCGCACACCACCGCGAAAGAAAACATTTATAATGCATCAGTATGGAACTGAACAAATTGCTGTGGTAATTTTGCAGGCTCCCCTGTGTTCCAGACCCACGGAGGCTCAGCTGGTTGGAATCCACGGTTCTGTTGCTAGATTCCTGCTCTCCGTTTCTCCGGAAGAGTTGGGCCCAAGTGTCTGTGGAGATTCTCTCTCATCCAGGTCACGGTAGAATAGAATAGAAATAGAATAGAAATGGGATAGAAATTAGAAGAATAGAATAGAAATGGAATAGAAATTAGAAAAATAGAATAGAATAGAATTGGAATTGGAATTGGAAATGGAATAGAAATGGAATAGAAATGGAATAGAAATTAGAAGAATAGAATAGAATAGAATAGAATAGAATAGAATAGAATAGGAAATAATGAAATGAAATAATGAAATGAAATGAAATGAAATAGAAATGGAATAGAAATTAGAAGGATAGGATAGGATAGGATTGGAATAGAAATGGAATAGAAATTAGAATAGAATAGAATAGGAAATGAAATAGAAATAGAAATGAAATAGAAATGAAAATGGAATAGAAATGGAATAGAAATTAGAAGAATAGAATAGAATTGGAATTGGAATGGAATAGAAATGGAATAGAAATTAGAAGAATAGAATGAATTGGAATGGAATAGAATTGGAATAGAATTAGAATAGAAATGGAATAGAAATGGAATAGAAATTAGAAGAATGGAATGGAATGGAATTCTTTATTGGCCAAGTGTGATCGGACACACAAGGAATTTGTCTTGGTGCAAATGCTCCCAATTGTCATCCCAAAGGTGCTTTTTCAAGGACTTCCTTTGTTTTTTGTTTGAAGACGTTTCGCGTCTCCTCCAAGAAACGTCTTCAGCTCTGACTGGATGGTGGGGAACGGAAGGATTTGTCCTCCTTGGAGCAGACGAGCTCTCCAAAGGATGGTTTTTCCTGCAGACATTTGACCCAACCAGGGAAACACCATCAGGACTAGAAGGGGAGAAGGGTTTGTAGGGAGGTGGGAGGACTGTGGGCTCCTTGGTGCTCTCTGAGCTTGGCTGTTTTCTTGAAGAATTTCATTACCCAACTAGGGAACATCATCAGGGCTAGAAGGGAGTGGGGTTTGTGGAGAGGAGGAGGAGGAGGACAACGAATGTAGGGTCCTTGATGCTCTGTGAACTTGGCTATTTTCTTGCAGACGTTTCATTACCCAACTAGGGAACATCATCAGAGCTAGAAGGGGTTGGAGTTTGCTCTCATTTTATATTCTATTAGCACCGGTGATGTTACCCAGACTGACTAATGAAATGCCTGCAAGAACCGCAAAGCTCAGAGAGCACCAAGCACCCCTCATTTCAACTCTGAGCTACAAATATTCTCCTTTAGAGCCGATTTCCTGGTGAAGTTGCTAGAATAGTTCCTCAACCTTGGCAGTTGGTGGATTTTAAAGGGGTGGATTTTAAATCCCAGAATTCCCCATTTGTAGCTCACCCCGGAGCTAGGGACCGAATCATATTGCATTTCAGATCTTCGGGAAGGCAAATCCATGAGCCCCAAACCATTTCAAACCTCCTTTCTTTTCTTTCTCCTCTCCTCTCTTTTCTTTTTCTCTCTCACTTCCTCCTTTTCCTTTCCTTCCTTCTCTGCCTCATTTCCTTCCTTCCTTCCTTCCTTCCTTCCTTCCTTCCTTCCTTCCTCT